AAAAAACCGAACACATTGGTAATCGGGTTAGGGTTGGGTTCACATTGGGGGTGTAAGAATTAGTGGTACTTAGCAGGAGGATCTCGTGGTAACACAAAGAAAAATTCGGGCCTTCTTATAGAAGGGGTCCCCTCCCCGCACCCTCACCGAGCGAGGAATAAAAGTGAAGATTTCATTGGTCTGTTTACCGCGAAAAAGGTGACCGTCGTCCGGAAAAAAAACCGAAAAAAGGTTGAGCCCATCAAGGACGAGTCCCGATGAAAAAGTTGGATTAAAGACCGGGAGTTTAGCTCCAAAGAAATGGCCAGGGTTTGCTCTCGGGCCGCGGCTCTCATAACGATTGACCTTCTACTGGCAACTTGGTGAGCCTGACCCGACCTTACAGTCTCTCCATTAGCGACCGTTCCCCCGAGTCTCGACTGTTGTTTTACTTGCTATAAACCTGGCACTAAATTCAACATTAATGTGCCACAACGTCTTACTCCGGGCTTCATAAGCCTGTGTGGGCATGACTAATGGGCCATCATTTTTTTCTGTACTTGAATACGAAACCTGGTTCAGACGTCTGTTCTGCCGTCAACCTTTTTGGAAAAAAATTTGTAACGCCACAAAAAAGACTTACCCCTCTAACCTAGCTAGTCCGATTGCAGAGCATAATATCATAAAGTGGCCAAAATCTGATCAGCTCATTTTCAGACAGGTTTTTATATAAATGGATCAGGACAAAAAATGGGCCAATCTTTTTTCCTGAAACTTTCAGAATCTCTTTACACAGAGGGGACACATATTTATGTACAAAATATATGAACAAGTGGATTTTGCATAATAGTTCCCCTTTAAATATGTGACATGTTCACACTTTAGCCCTACATTAGTATTAGGCAATTTTCCTTATTCTGTCCTTTAATGCTTGACTTAATAATAAAATCTCCCCTTCTCTCATGAGGTTATAAAAGTCTGTAAAGACAAACAGCATGCCATACATTATTGTGATATTTGAATAGCTTTTTGTCTGTTTTCTTTAGCAGGGAGATCCAGTGGACACGCCTTACCACCCGAGAGAAACCACCAACATGAGAACACAGACAGTGGCCTCCTACTTCAGGGTAAGATTTATGTCTTTATTCTCTGATTACTTTGCTCAAATTTGGTTTAAAATGTCTAAAACGTTCTCAGTGTTTCTCTTGTTACCAACTTTGTTGCATAAACCCAAGCCGCTTAAAAAGATGAATTCTTCGTGTACTTTTTCTAGTACTCTCTGATGGACCTGCTATCCAAGATGGTGGCAGGGCAGCCCCACTTTGTGCGCTGTATAAAGCCAAACAACGATCGCCAAGCCAATAAGTTTGACCGGGAGAAGGTTCTGGTTCAGCTGCGATACACTGGAGTTCTGGAGACTGCCAAGATCAGACGGCAGGGCTACTCTCACCGCATTGTGTTTGCTAACTTCATGAAGAGGTCAGCACTTAACAGAAGGATGTCGAGTAATAAATTAATGTTGCATCAAAAGGCGTTTACTTTCGTGTTCATCTGATCTCTCTGACTGTTACAGGTACTACATCTTGGCTTTCCATGCTGATGAGGAGCCGGCTGTGACTCAGGAATCATGCGCTGCAATACTGGAGAAGGCCAAGCTGGAAAACTGGGCAATGGGGAAGACTAAGGTTTGTAACTGTTTTGTTTGAAGGGAGCATCAACACAAGCTTCATTTTGCCCTCTCAAGTTAGTTTCAAATGACCTTATTTTAACCAAAAAGACAATTAGAGTCCGCTCAAAATGAGCAGCTGTACAATGATTTTTGCTAATATGCTTGTCATTGATGCACCGGATTAATTTGGATCTATTGAAGAGCACCATGGGCTAATCACAGTTACAAATCCCTGTTGCAACCTATGGTTTTGTTGTAATATGTTGTAATACAGGCTGGTAAAAGTGAGTGGGAGCATGCTTCCAGATCTGGCTTCAAGCCCCGATAGTCTCAATTTAAATGTCACTGAGCAAAACATTGAGGCCAACATTTACCAAAGATTACTGCAGATTTGTTTTGTACTTAAAAGGCCAAAGCAGAACCTAGTTCACTCACTCTGTGCAATGGCTTCCCAACAACACTCACATCAAAATAAAGCCTGTGTTCAGTGTTTCAGTGTTTCCCCTATATACAAATAGTGGCGGCGCAGCACCGCTGCTGAAATATGAGCGCCGCTGCTAGGGGGCGCCAGCCAGGTAACCAAAAAGAATATATAGTATTTGTTTTACTGGCATAGGCGACACAGGCGGTCGCCTAGGGCAACAGATCTGGGGGGCGCTGCGCTGGTAGCTCTGGGAGGGAAAAAACATTTTTGACCGTTGGCGCTCATCCAAATGTTCGGCCTTGATGTAACAACATTCATAATTAAGTAAATGTAACACCCTTTTCACCCCGGTTACACGTTTAATTTGCCCTGTACGGTGGGCGCTGTAAGTGATGAAAGTGGGGGATGTTGGCTTATCAGGCGCCCGCAGCTCACAGCCAAAGTGCGGGCGTGGTAGCGAGAGAGCGAGCAAGGGAGAGGGCGCACCGGTACCGGCGCTGTTGTTATTAGAATCTGGTGCTAGCTGCGCTAACGGATATAAGAAGTAGATGCTTCTACAACCAGGGTGGAGGAGAGCTCTCCTGTCAGACTGAGAGGCTCAGTGAGGTTAAGGACTCTCTGCGTGTTTAGAATAATTTTTGTCTAAGTTATCTGAGTGGGTCTAAAACGTTTTGACCACAAATGATGTAAACATATATTTCCAAGGCACTCCTTTATAATTATTAGGATAAATAAAAACAGGTTTGAAATCATTCCAATGTATACTATAGGACAGTAAACCAAAAATATCGTTTAAAGTTGGAGAGATACAAAAATATGCATACTGTAAATAAATAAATGTTAACTAGGTAAAATAAATAAGATATGAATGAACAACAAAAATAAAATAAGCTACATTTATTTGTTATTGGCTATGGTAGGTTATTGGTTATGTTCATATACTTATTTGATTATTAAAATGTAAACCGATCTTTTTCATATGGGTGTTTAGAGTTGTACCCCCTAGATCAGGTNCTGCAGTGACGTCATCTTCAATGCGAACCACAAAACCAAAACATCAGCCGTTAGCTGTTAGCACTCAGACTGTCTGTGTCATGGCGAATACAGTCACTGGTTTACCAGTGACTGTATTCGCCATGACACAGACAGTCTGAGTGCTAACAGCTAACGGCTGATGTTTTGGTTTTGTGGTTCGCATTGAAGATGACGTCACTGCAGTTTTACGCAGCGTCGCTTCGCCCGCCGAACAGCCAATCGCCTCGCCTACACTGCGTTACTATAGTTACTACCCCTGTTACTAAACTGTAATGGAAACGCAGGATAAAGTGAGCCTGGCCTAACCATACCATACTAAGCCGTGCTAGGTCCTGCAGTGGAAAAGCGCCAAAAGAATCAGAACTTTTGGAACAGGGCTGAAACAGAGGGGTTTATGGGATGCTACAATGCATGATCTGTTTGGTATTTCGAGCCAAACACTTCAGAGACATGTTTTGTATATATCTGAGACCTATAATGCATTGATGAAAAACAGTATAATAGGGGGCCTTTAACATTTAAACATGGGTCAAATCTTCAATAGAATTGTTGATATCAAATTGTTTTTATCTTCCTTTAAAAATTCACCAATCACCGTTTTTTCAGGGTTGAGCTTTAATTTCCGAGAAGGCTGCAAAAAGAGATGCATAAGATGGATAAATAAAATAAAAACAAGCGCCAAATCAAGTGTGCTTCTAATTAGCTACAAAAATACTAAAGCATTTGCTCTTGGGAAGACGACACAGGATGCTACATCTCTATAAAAAGACCGAAACTTATGAATTAACCGGCACAGTATTTCGTAACATTTGAACAAGCGCCACCTCATTATCAGTACTGTTACCCAGGGGGAAACTACTTTATAGTAAGCCATCAGCCTAATACTGTTTGCAGCATTTTGAGGTCTCATTGTGCCTCTTAAGAGCGGAGCCTTTGATGAGCTTTTTGTCTAACATATGCAGATGAATGGAAATAGATTCAAGAACTAATCAGACACACTTCATTTGAATGTAGCTACTATCAATTGCTTTTGGGCGAACAAGTATGTGTGTGTGTGTGTGTGTGTGTGTGTGTGTGTGTGTGTGTGTGTGTGTGTGTGTGTGTGTCTTGATTTTCCCATTGGCTATAAACTATTGATTATTGAATGATTTAAATGCTACATTTAAAGTTGCAATACTTGAAAAATGTGGATTCACTATGCCATTCATTTGACTTAAATACTCAGCATGAGTGCTTTGACACCCAAAGTGAAGCGTTAAACCCCAACAATATGGCTTGGAGCTACAAACAAACAATGTGGAAATGAATATAAAGGAAGGCTTCTACATTCTGAGGACTACATGAAGATGGGGAAGTGTCTACAGGTGGCACACACGCAACAGGATTTATGGGTGAGCAATTCAAAATACAAACCACTACAGTTGGGTATCTTTCTATAGTTTAGGAGATCTAAAGTTAGTAAAGGTGTCTGGACACACACAAAAACAAACTACCTAAATATGTTGATTACCTCACTGAAAGAAAAGGAATTGTATAAAGTAAGCACTCCCATCTTTTACAACAGAAATGCAGAGACAGAGAGGCAGGGAGAAAAGAAGACACAGAAGGTTAGAAAAGGAGACGCTATAATCAAAGTAAAAATAAGTTAAAAACATTCAAAAGACAAAAGGGGCTTGATTATAATTCAAAAGTAGTTTTGAGTTCTGGCAGTAAGAAGAGAAAAATAGATTGAACAACTTGTCAAGGTAAGGTCTTGATGAGGAAGATAGCACAGTAATAATGCGGATATTGCTGTTAGTACCTTGGCGAAGGTGATGGTGCGTGACGGGGTCCGCGGGCTGCGCATTGTGTTTATGCCTTTACCCTTGGTGTGGGCAAGGTTGCCTGTGGAATAAACAAATTGAGCATGAGAGTCAGTTGACAAAAACTGCCCTTAACCACCAGGCAAGGGTTGGATATACATTGAAGGATCATTCACAGTAAGAGGACGGCATATTCTTATCTGTCCGGATCAATTAGTGAGGTGAAACATGAGATGAGATAAATGGAGCAGATAGCAAAGGGGTCAGTAGTATTTCCGTTTAAGCGCGTTACTGTTGATTAAGAGTGAAACGCTCCAAACAACAGCTTTAAGACTACACTGAAAGAGAGACTATGTGATTCGATTCAGCTGGCAGCCTGCTCTGCCAAAAGAAACGTACTCTCAATGCCAACACAGTGTTTATGAAACAAAGCCTGGCGGATAAGAGAGGAAAGCCTTGATACAATAGGTAACAATATCCTGTTGTTTTATGTTAAGTATGTATTCAGTGCATACAAACTTCCTCCTTTTTTCTTTCCCTATCTCCTTTCCTCTTTACCTGTTTTGGTGAGCGGATGGGTGACAAGTTTGCGAGTGAGCTCATTTTCTGACGACCTCAGCAGCAGGATGATGTCGGCTGGTAACATGTCTCTGTTCTTGGCCAAGAAGCCTGCAGCGTTGTAAATCACCTTAGAATTTGAGAGGGAGAATAATGATGTAAAAACACATATTAATCAGCGTGCACACATATTATTAAATCAAATGTCAAGTACCTTTCCAGCGTAGTGGTGAATACCAAAGCCAAGGTCCACCCTCTTTGGTCTCCAGAAGCTTTTGGTCTTCAGGTTATCTTCAAATTTCTCTAAAATGTCAAATGAAATATAACATAGTTAACCCCACAACCACTCCCAATATGATGTCAGCATGATTTCACAAGTGTAGTATGCTTTACTATTATATTTACTTATCTAAAAGTGGTTTTATAACCTTCAGTATGAAATACTGCCTGTTGTCTTTGACAATGTGCTCAACTAAAAACTTCTGTTTCCTAAATTATATTTTTCCCAAAAGCCCCAAATGATGGCTGTTAAGTACTGAACATTACTAAGATATGAGAGATCAAATGACAACAAGTGTTACTGCGAAGTCCACATGTTCTGTGCAAATAAAGGTTGTATAGCCTACAGTGAATCCTTCCCAAAACAGATGGCCAAGAATCATGATCTGGAGACACTGACCTACGAGGGTCTGGTCAGTGGCCTGTGGGAAGCGACTCTCCTCATCCAGAAGGGAAAGCATCCCCATGGGCTTCTGCAGGAACAGGTCCAGGAGGGGCCTGTTGTCCTCATACTCGATCATCCGAGCGTCCACCTCCTCATTCAGGTACTCATCCTGGAAAGAAATGGTATATCTGGTTAAAGTCCTTTCTTTCTGTAAGACCATTATAACATAAGTATGGTGCAATGTTGTGTTTCAGATACAAAAATGATGGAAATTACTGTTTTTTTAAAAGCACATATTTTAAAAGTGCCTTTTTATTGAGTCTTTTTGTTTGTTTGTGGGTTCAACTTAAAGTCACACAAGGTTGGGACATGAAATCATTTGTAAAATGAATTTCTACTGTATATTGTAAATACATGTGTAATTGTGTCTTTTCAGAATGCCCTGCTAAAAGACGCGGATTCTGCCAGCGTCCAGCAGGACCACATGAAAAGCCTGAGGGGGTACATATTAAATAGACTCATTGGGGCACAATTACATACTTTTTTAGTCACTGTTTACTGTTGTGGTATTTTGTAAATAAACTTACTAAAAATCATCACGTCTCATAACTACTTTCTGACTGTTGTGGCAGATTAATTAACCCCCTTTCCTAAGGGGGGTCTGTGGGACATGTATTGCCTTACAGCCATGTTCACAATATAACATAGGTGTTTTTTGTCCCTGATGTTCAGGTAACCTTACCAAGCCATCGTAGAAAGAGCAAGAAGAGACACCCGGGTGTAAATAGCTACAGTGCTTAAGATAAGATGTGCATACATCCACCATAAGGGAATTACAATTTGACGCAGCAGCACAAGGGAATGAAATTATCAAAATGTCCATAAATACATTTTTTTATTTTTTATAAATACATTTACACCCGGGTGTAAATAGCATTGTTAGCTACGGACACCCGGGTGTAAAGAGCATTGTTAGCTACGGACACCCGGGTGTAAATAGTATTGTTAGCTACGGACACCCGGGTGTAAATAGTATTGTTAGCTACGGACGCCCGGGTGCAAATAGCATCTGCCAAAATTAAACTGGCATCGCTTTTCTAACTCGGCAGATTTTCCTATCATGCATTGTTAACAAAAGTAACAAAATAAGTTGTGTACATCCCCAACTGATTCAAATCCACTTGTCCATGCTTCATGTTAAGGCCAGCATTGTTTCCTGCTGACAAACATACAAACAAACCAAACAAAGAAAACATAACTTCCTTGGCCAAGGAAATAAAGAAACTCAAAACCCCAATACAAAAAAGAAACGAACATCTATCTTTTATTTGTAACCTGGATCACTGCTATTCATAACATAATTGAGCCTGAATTTGAGTGCTTTGTGGCAGGAGTAATAAAGGAAAAGCACAGATAGGTAGTATTGATTATGTATGTCCTGCACAGTTACAGTATATTGACAGACCAGCATTTTACAGTCAGATGCTGTCGGTCCTGTTCTGTGGTTTCATTTTTGTTTGTTTGCAAAGTTGACAAGCAATGCGTATTTTTTCAATACATTTTGTATTCTTAACAGCCATTTTCTGATCTTTTATTTTGTATTTTCTTTATGTCATGCTGATTGTTCAGCCTATAATGTACACATCTGAAGTCATTACCAAGCAAACAATAACAGAACAGAGTTGTCCCTTGGTTGCGGTATATTGTACTTGGTGACACACTCCCTTCCCCCCTTCAGATAAATCTGGCCCTGAGGGCAAACTGGGCTTAGGGCTGCAGTGTATATTAAGATAACACCTCAGGTTAACTGACTCAGAGCTCCTATGACTCACCAACATAACTGGAGACTTCTAGTCAGAGAAGAAAAGGACAAAATGTGAAAAATGACATCCAATCAGCGATCTTTTTCTTGCCTGACCTACCAACTGGGAAGTAAACGATCCACATGAGAAAATCTGTCATGCACACATGTGGATACTGTATGTAAACATTGAAATCTGCTCAATTGAAAATGAGAGAAGTTGCGTAATGCTTTTAATGTCATAGCCCAAGAATTCCCCCTATGCTTTGTCTATATGGTAGAAGTATAGGACAAATGTATTTCTGGGCCTGGTGCCAACAATACCCAGGAGTGAGATTAAGTCAAACGCTAACTGTCTTCAACTCCTAATTGACCCTCGTTGTAGATGATTTATAGCTCCTCTCCATGGGTGAGACCAAATCATTTAACATTAGCAAACCATTCTCTGCCCCCCCAAGGCAAAACACACCCACGAGCCGGCACAAAGGGAGAATCGCGATCCTCATTCTCCCGTAATAAAAGACAGCAGCATATTTTACCCCTCGCCATTTCTCGTAAAGCGCAGAGAGACAAATGGTGACATGTTATCACTATTAATATGGAAATGAGGTAGTACCAAGGTGAAAAATGCATAGAAAGTGCTTTCCAGGAAGGACTCAACCCTCAGAGAGCATTTGTTGAATTCAGTGACAGTTTTAGATGGATTCTGGGCCAAGCCTTTACCTGCTCCCAAGCAAATATGTGCTGGTTGAAGTAAAACTGGATCTGCTCGTTGGCGATGTTGATGCAGAGCTGCTCGAAAGAGTTCTTCTTAAAGTTCTCAAAGCCGAAGATGTCCAGTATGCCGATGTTCAAGCCCTTTTCATCATCTCTGGAGATGAGATGAATGAAAAGTTAATTCAATGTAATACTTTTTTTTACTTAAACATTAATGTGTTTAATAGATTTTGTGTCGAATTACAACTGCAGGTTGACAGAGCCCAAAACAATATATAGGTAAACATTATCAGTGGTCAGAAACAATGCCACTAATCACCACACAAAATCTGTTCCCTCATAACTTGTCAACACCAGAAGAGTTTTCTGCCTACTTTCAACCTAAAGCTTAAAAATAAAGCATACTTTATGGATGTCTTCTTTTCAAAGGCTGCATGTGTAAAATACATTTCATTCATAGTCTGAAAAATATTTTTATTTTAATATGAGCTGAATACTAATCTTAGCTTGCGATTGTGATTTAGAAGGACAATGCTAACATGCTAATGCATAGCTGCTATGTGGTGACATTATTGTTGCACTATGAGTGCATTAATATGTTGCTTATACACACTAACCACATGTACAGCTGCAGATAATGGGGATGCCATTCATTTGGCAGTTATTTGGTAATAAAACTAAGTAATTATCAAATCATAATTTATCCAGAGAGGATTCACATTTGTGCACACTATTTCCTCGATAAAAACGTTTCTAAGATGACCTCTTTCTGCTCTCATCTCAGGCAAACACACCACATCACACCTCCTGCTTGTGATCTCACCCTTGCTGGCAGTCGGGTCGCAGCAGTGCGTTGATGCGGTTGACTATCCAGCTGAAGAGGCGGCCGTACAGAGCCTTGCCCATGGCGTCTCTCACCTCCGCCGCCTTTTCCACCGTGTTGGGCCTGACGATGGTCTCTCCCCGGGCCACAACACAGTGGGAGGTCAGGGCTTCCTGGAGCTCATCAGAGCGGATACACAGCAGGGATGCCACTAAAAGACGCATTATAAAAGGAAGTTAAGTGTACATGTGTAACGTAGAATCACTACAAGTAATACATGCAGGCTGTGCAAAGGCCAACCTTGTACAAGTAACAAAGTACCTTTTTTTCTCGCTCACATTAAATAAAAAATAAAAATGTAGACGGCTTTGTAAATTATCAGTCAGAACAGATGTCTACATTTAGAAAATACATTACGGGAGGGAAACCATTTCCTATATGTTTGGTAATGATGCTTCTGTATTACTACAATTGCCTGTTTGAAATGATAGATGATTTAGTTCCAAACAAAGGTTTAATGAGAGAGGCGAAGGATGAAGGAGCGGAGTGGGGGTGTGTAGCAGAGGAAACTCAGACTAAAGTTTGGTTTGACATCTTCCTGCACCATGCCTCTCTATCCCTCTCACCATTCTCCAGGACAGAATTATTGGATATGTTGCTCTTGTCGGTTTGATGCTCCGTCGCAACCGGAGAAAACTCGATATCGCCTGAGTTGAGGATGGCGGCCAGAGTGCTGTAAACACTGCCCAGCTCCTGCAGAAGTGATACAACCCCAGAGTTATCTAGTGTTAGGTACCTATTACAACCTCATTCTGACATATCAGGATGGAAATGAGTCTATAAATGTCACATTCACAAAGTTATAGCACGTTAGCATTTTCTGAAGCGTGAATACAGTTGTATGTAGGTGTCAGGCAAGACCTATTTCTTAAATTCAGCTAGCTTGTATTTTTTTTAATGGACAGGTCTCAGAGAATACTAATGCATATTGGTATTTGAAATAAGAAATGTACTCTTTGTGCTCTTCTCTAGCCTCCATTCCTTTGTGCACCCTGCAGTTCTTAGCAAGGAAAACTTTTCTAATAATCGAACTCCTCAAAATAATGTTTCAAAATAAATAACCTTGCAGCAATGATCAAGTGCACTCTGTGATTTTATGCAAGACGAGATGTACTATCGGAGAGAAGGTTGTTACTCGAGTACGGCCTAGTGATTACAGGATAAGTACTATTGACGTGCAGTTCCCAGAGGCAATCAGTTCTTTGAGCCTCATTAGCCTTCACAATGCCAACAGCTAACTGCCTACATGTGCTTGTGGCTTCATGCTCCGTCACATGCCATATAGTAGACCTTAGGAACTACTAATAGTCCAGTTGTATTTTTTTAAGCACTCTCTGTATAGTATACATGCTTCCATGTTGTCTTCCATATACACAGGAGTGTGAGAGTGCTTCTGTATGAGTGTTGGAATCAAGGTCATGCTGTCAAACACCACTTTCAGCTTTTTGGCCAGTAATTGATGCAGTCGTTTTTTACCTCCAGGCTGAATCCAATGACTTTGAAACACTGCTCCACTGCATCAAACTGCTCCTTGTAGAAGATGTTGCTCACTATGTCAGGCCCTAATTTTATATGCTCGTTACACAGATACCTGCAGATAAAAAAAGAAACATCAAGATTGCGGCCTTAGTAAGCAGGAGGTTTGCAGTGAGAGTAGAAAATAACATTGTTTAAGAGGAGGGCTGAGGGATGTCAAACCCACTTAGGTGTTTTGCTGTCGGAGAGCCTGTAATGGGCTAGTTTCTTCCTGTCAGCCAGGCCGGCATAAATGTAGTAGAAGATGTGGAAGTTCCTCTCCCCTCTGTGGAAAACACAAACAGACAAAGCTTTGAAATGAAGGTCCTGAAAGCATTAGATATGTTATTTTAGCCTTTACTCTATTGACGAATATTACTCCTGTTTAGCAAAAAAGACAATGAAAGGCAAATACAGAACAGGCAAACAAAACTAAACACGTAGACAAGTCGTACCTCTGATAAGGCTGAAACGTTTTCAGATTTGATTTTAAAGAGGCATTTCACAGATTTTACGCATAATGATCAGTTCAGAAGTTTATTACTAGAAATGTAGTAAACGGTTACAAGACAAATCAGAAATATAACACAATACATTAATGAGTTAGCTTGCAGGCTCAAATGCATTGAAAGAGTTTTTACAGTGATCCTGAGAGCAGTATTTAATACATGAATGATTAACATTGCATACACTAGCTAGTGTACGACCATCTTTTTAGCCATGTTAGCTTAAGCCCAATAAGATCAAATCTCTGAATTAACTGATTGGTGAACAATTATGTATGGGAACATTTATAGTTATATTTTTCAGTTTTTGTTAAATAACCTTAAGTCAAGGGATTTCTCAGTAAGCAGCCAGTGAAAACATTTTTAAAAATATATATTTTTAGGGGCGATTGCCTTTAATCCAGAGATACCGTGTTGAAAGGAGAATGCATGCCTAAACTTTCTGCAGTTCGAAATTGAACCTGTGTACTTGGCAGGAGGGACTTATGGCAGCCACTTACTGTAGCAATAATTTGTTTTTTCCAACATGAATTCAGCTTGTTTGCCATTTTCTTTAAAAAATAGTATGCATAACAGGCTGAAGAAAAGTGTAGCTACACACAATGCTGGCAGCCAAATCAAACCCTCTGAACCGCGTGTCTCTCTTCTAATGAGATACTTGAGTCTGCCTTTGAAGCTCCGCTGCGGACACTTGCAAGACCACATTCTTTGATAAAGCAGGAAATAAGCTAGCCCCTCCACTTGACCTGTTCCGCTCCCCAGGCACACGATAAGAAGAAAAGATGGATTGACTGGAGTGCAGGTGGAAGGTAAATGCCACTGGTTTCAAACGGAGACGTAGAAGTAAAAAGAAGAGTAGACAAGCTATTACACACTGATACCTGATCAGCAAGCATACAAAGAACCTTCTTTGCCATGTTCTTTCAGAAAACATCCAGAGACACAATAACATTTATATAAATGTCAGAAAAGATTGCTTACATTACACAAAGACATCGACGGAATTGAAAATAAGTGATATTTACACTGCCTGGTGGATGACTCTGGATTTCTCCAGCAGGTACTCGGATATCTGCGCCCCGACCACTGTCCCTCCGCAGGTGAACTTCATCTCCAGGTACTTCCCAAAGCGGCTGGAGTTGTCATTGATGACGGTGCAGGCGTTTCCAAAAGCTTCCACCAGGCTGTTGACCAGCAGGATCTTCTCCTGAAGTGTCCGATTATTGGCCTGAATAAAACAGGATTCCTCATAAGTAACTGGGAAGTCAATACGGTGGAATATATAATGCTATAATCAAGCAATGTGCCTTTATCTTCATGTTATTTCTCTCATAAATGGAACTGCCATTGCTTATTTCATTTCTCTATTTAGAAAAGGGTGAATTGAAAGGGAACTCTCTTTTCAACTTGGAAGAAAATCATGAATGGCATCCCTTAGAACTTGCTTGAAGTCTTACACTCATATTAAGAGTGTGTTAGTTAGAGTAGGTGGAGGTTCTTTTTTTAGTACCAAATGGTCGCATTACTTTGGGTAATTGATGCCCTGCTGCTCAGAAACTCATTCATACAAACGGCCTATCCTTTAGATGGTTTCTAATTGATTTCATTTCATGAATAATCCCTTTTGGGAATGACGTTAATGTTATTGACAGTATTTAGTACTCACCTTTCCAAGAACTGTTAGCTGCTGTACCAACAGATGCGCACCCTCTGTTTTCCCAGCTCCACTTTCCCCACTGATCACAACACACTGTGTACAGAGTCAGAGAACAACTGTTCAAATATGTCTAAGCTCTAACTGACATTCAAAGTGAAAGATTTTATAATAAATATAACCCAAAAGATGATACTCATATTCATCAGACTTTAACTATTCATACTAATTCTACCGCTGTTACTTTATCACTATTAAAAATGATATATTTTGTATGTATCATAAAGCTGTTTAGCACTTGAATAGCCTTAAAAGATATTGATCTTAAAGAAACTTCCAGCACTCAGGATGCTATTAAATAATCATTGAGTATTGCCACATTACCTGGTCTGTGTTGTATGACACCATGGACTGGTAGGCGACGTCGGCCACAGCAAAGATGTGTGGGGGGTTAGCTGTGCGCTTAGCCCCAATGTACACTTTAGTGAACTGTGAAGAAAGCAGTTTAAAACATGAATATGAATGTAATGGATAACATAATGAAGATTTCATGAGGAAAATTCAGATAGTGAGGTATGACGGAGGCTGACGTGTGTGTGTGTGTGTGTGTGTGTGTGTGTGTGTGTGTGTGTGTGTGTGTGCAGGTGAGGCCAAATGTGAAGCAGCCAGATGAAGAGCTGCGGAGGAACTAATGAGATATGCTAAGCTTCATTCACTGCGTCATTGACCACATATAGACAAAGGAACACACAAAGACCGGATGTATATCCACTAACCTGAGGAGTGTATATCTCCATCTTATGGAAAGGATTGACTGCGATGAGAATGTCTCCCACGTATGTGTAAATTTGATCTCGTACATAGCGACTCTGGAGCTGCTCTGTGACCGTGTTCTGAAAGAGATTCACACAACAGGTATAAAATGTTTCCTCAATAATCCAACCACATTATTATAAATAACTATACAGTTTACGTCCAGACTCAAGTCAAGGCCTGGGACGCCTGTTAATGCATTGTCTTGGTTTCAAACGGTGATTTTTTTTCTCCTGTCTTCACACTGCCAGGACAGGTAGATAAACAACAGCAAGGCAGCACTGTCTCCCTCACACTAGCAGACCTCCTCATCTTGAAGGATGGGTGGAAATATCCGCTGGCAACTGAGACTGATTGTATCATTCAAGACGTCAATGCAGCGCTCAGAAGTGATAAATAGCTCTAAATGTTATTTGTGCAAAAGATACTGCAGTGTATTTCTCACTGACAGCAGATCAGGTGACCAGGGGGAAGTGATGCTGAATGTTCTAGTTAACAGTGGGAGACACATCAATACGACCAGCACAAAAATGCTTTATCTTTTTCGATATTTGTAAAATGAAGGAAAATTATTTTTACAAATCCAACTCTCACTGTCTATTTAGCATCTGTTGTGAAGATTTGATTGTATCACACCGTCTTCTCAGCAAATAGAGATTGCTTAGTTAGTCGTCATCAAAATATAGATGCTTGATTTAAAATGTTCTAAGCTGTTCTTCTGATAGATTGATATTGATCTGCCTGCAGTATCCACGGTACACGAATACACTTTGCACCTCTGCTTTGAAACTTATTATGCTGATGACTTTTATGTAAAACAATTGAAAGCTCCAGAGAACTCACAAAATGGACTTGAGGTGAGATTAAAAAGGACAGCCTTAAAATAGAGAAATACATGATGTGATAGTATTTGTTATAGCTGTGCTATATCTGACAACTGTTTACCATTTACCCCATTTGGCTTTAATTAGTTTACTGCAAGTGGCTATTTCCTTTTGGCTTTATAAGTGTTTTGTATTGAGATAAATAGCTGTTTATATGTATAGATTGTGAACTTTCTTACCTCATCCAGAACTTCTAGGGTGGCGAGGTCGTCCACCTCATCGTCAGTTTGAGTCTTCATATGGCCTCCTCTTTTAGTGTGGATGCGTTCATGCCTAGAACTCAGAGAACCCACAAGCAACTCTCAGTGAGTAATGTATGTATTGTATAGATGACAATATAAGTAATGTCAATTCAAATTCCATGCCTTATGTGCAGTGTTAGCAGTGCACAGTGCTGCCAATAGTATGGTGCATTTTGTACATTTAAACACACCTTAAACAAAGGTCAATATAAGCGAAGGTTCAACCGTAAATATCTTAATATTTATTTCTGTATAGCATTGATCAGTACGCAATTTATTTATTTCCTGAGACAGAATACAGGTTACCAGAATTAAACTCAAACCACATCTTAATAACGGCTACATCTGCCTCCAGGAAAACACTTTTGTACCATTTTAAAGGCCACTTAATAATAACAATATATTTCTTTGCCCTATGCGATAAATAAACAAAACAAGATCATTCATTGATGTATATTTTATTTAATAAACTTCCAGGAGGCCTATGGTTTCTAAGAATACTCCATTACACAATACTGTTTTGTCATAATATGGGATAAGTTATTTCTTATTACCAGATATTATTTAGTTTGTTATGGTGGTAATACTTTTTATTCTCTTTTAAGTGCTGGTGAGAATTGGAGCTTATCAAATACTGTAGTTGGTTCACAGTGACGGTCACGACCTTAGTTACACGGCAAGTAAAATAGGTTAAAAAACAAAGAGACAACATGACTCAGAAAACAAGACAACAATGCTTTTGATGGCAGGGTGGGAGCACATACACAGTCTAAGATCAGCCATGTAGTTTTGCAAATACATGTGTGATCACAACTACAACGCCAATTAGGATCTACTGTGCTGCTACTGTGGCATAAAGGTCATATAGGCTTTTGTTACCTGTCATTACTTTCTCTGCTTCTGTTTGTCTTTCCATGATGGCTTAAACGACAGAAATATGATTAACATTTCATGATCTGTACGGGCAGTACATACTTTCTGGGCCAGTATTTTGACTCATGTGACACGAGCCTGCACCTCGAATGAAGCTGGAGCAGGATGGAGCGCGTTTATGAGAGAGTGATGGGGTTGTAAAAAATCCAGCAGGGAGCGTCATTTGGATTATACTGACTGCAAAAGCTAAGCTGCAGCCGACTATATAAATCCTGCTGACAGGAAGGCTTGCAGATTTCAAGTTTTGTTAGGGTTTTATAACTGAATATATCAAAGACTCGAAGAGGAGAGGAGTATGCATGTAGAAGGAAACAACTTATACATACAACCACAGTTAAGACAATACCTTGTTTTATCAATCACTCCTATTTGTTGGTTGAGGTCAATGAGTTCGATCAGTTGCTTCTGCAGTATTTTCACTTTGCCAACAGTCTGTTTGATGTACACATGCTGGAGGAGGTCTAGCACGTTTGGTCTCAGCTCAAAGTCCTTAATCAGACATCTGAGGGGAAGAAGAACAAAAGGTGGGAAGAGGAGTGCAATGAATTTATTGGATTTGTATTAACAGTGCACCTACAGTGGAAATATGTATTATTCACAGAGGCGTTACAAACACACAAGCATCCACACTCACTTGCCGATGAAGTCATTAAATTTGTCTGACCACAGCTCCGGCTGGTGGAGAGTAGGCGGAGGATTTCTGTTAAAGGAGGGAATTGAAAAGATAAATGGAAAGATAAGATGAAACGGGATTTACACAGGTGGGCCGGGGAACAAAAGGCAGAGGCACAGATTGTAACGAGGGAGGAAAATCTTAACAACACAGCATCGCTGACATCCAGGGGATTTTCTTCAGTGGCACAGACAAACGTTCCAGACCCTTAGCAGCTAGGTAGAATTGATACAGCTACATTGTGTTGACATAAAAGCAATAGTTAGTACCACTGGCTATCAAATATATAGCCAGATCTTAAAAGCTTAAGGTTTCCCCATGTAAAAATCTCATTCAAACATACAAAGGTCGTACATGGGATCAAGCATATCAAGCCCTAACAGCCGGCAAACAGCTAAGCTAATTTGCTTGAATTCCTTGTTCTGCTTTAAGTATTTTTTTACAAGAGGTTTCCTTGCAAGTGTAGGGGAGTGCAATGCTGCCTGCCAATGTGTCAGGGCCTTTTTTTATGTTGGCTCTAACAGCGATAAATACGTTGAATCAGGGGACATGCATCTCCTGTTTATCTCACAACACACCCAAACTAAGACAGCAAATGCTTGAGACATAATGGATATTCGAGTCTATGTAATTTTCCCCAATTTCTTTCAGGCCACAAACCAAAAGTTGGCTTATATGACTTGTCTGACCAAATCCTAGGTAGCTAACTTAAATGCTAACTCTCTAACTTGCCTCCATTAAAAAAAATCTCAGCTCGCTAGCTCATTTTCTAAATTGTTTCTCAACTTTTGGAATGACTTTACTGTCTTCTACTTTCCTCTCCTTCATATTTTGATGTGATTTCCCTCCAATCCTGTTGTTTAAAAGTAACAACAAAACCCAATACTATATTTCAAACACTGTGTCTACTGTACTCAACCAAAACATGTGCACACAATAAAGCTATTGCTTATAACTCTGCTTGTAAAGTTTGTTTTGTTTATACTGTGTCACGCAAGTTGTAATTTTGGACAATTAATTAACCACAATTCTGCTATATGAAAGTGAGTGGACAAGATCAACGACAAAACGACATAAATATGTTTGCATTGATCAAAAGAAAGATTTGCTGAAGAAAAAAACAATCAAAATGGTTGTCCTTGATTATCCTAAGTTTCTATCCGGCTCTGTTTAAGCTACCCTGAATGAAATAAGACAGAGTGTTGTGAAATGGATGCCCTCAGCATGGCTTGACGATGAACCCAGAGTGGTGAGAGGAGAGGAGTGTGAACAGAGCGCCTGGAGCTCTGGCTGCAGCAGTCACATAGATTCTGAGGAAGCTGTGTGATGCCTCCTGTGGAGCACGACCCCCAGAGCGTGTGTGTGTGTGTGTGTGTGTGTGTGTGTGTGTGTGTGTGTGTGTGTGTGTGTGTGTGTGTGTGTGTGTGTGTGTCTGAAGGAGCACACCGTTTCAGGGCAGTGATGGACAAAGTGCTGTGCCTTCAATATGACAGTGACTGTAAGTGCTTATGCTGCTCTCACACTGGAATCAGGAGACGATAAACAATTATTTTTCACCTTCAGCCCCCCAAAACAAACGATGAGAAACGGTGGCTGTGCTCTTAGCCTCCACCCACAGGATGAATGGGATCAGTGCCAGGAGGGGAGGGGTTTATTGAAAAAACCCTGCGAGCGGAAAAAAGCAATTTGAAATAAAAAGACTGCGCTTTGTCAGGTGACAATCTGCAAAGAGAGGCAAATCATTGTGCTTGGGAGCAGGAGCTTTCCTGGATTGCACTATTGCAGCTACACCTAACATGTGTATTCTGATTAAGCTACTGAGCAAGATGAAAAGTAACCAAGATTGCCTTAATCAAACAATATTATTAAACAATTTAATTTGTACAGAAATATGCCATTAGGCACAATAAGTACTTTTACTGGTGGCCCTTTAAGTATATTTTGATGATCGTATTATACCTATTTAATTAAAAAAAAGAAATGATATTGTTATTGGTTCTTTAACTCACTGTTAATTAAGAATATGTCTTAGATCTCCATAAAACAGTATCAGCTGAAATAAAGACAATTCAGACAATCGATCAACAAAAATAAAGCAAATGCATCTTTATTTTTTCCAAGTGAAAATGCCATACATTATGTTGGCGAAATAAAATGCAACATATTAGCAATTGTGTAGAATAAAGACAATTTCAAGGTCTTGTCTTATTCAAATTGTGGGTATTGTTTTATAATTTCATATAATTTGTAACTAATAAACTCACTGCATGCAAAACATTCAACTGAATTATATGTATTAATACTTGTGATTGCTTGGTCTTCTATGTTAGATGGCAGCCAGATGACGGTTTAATAACACCACAATAATGTAGCACGGATTTCTCAGTTCACAGGTTGTAATTAGGAAGTCACCACAAGAAGTGAAAAACATGCCAACAGGATAAAGACACTGTTGTTTCTTCACTTTGACACTGTCATTAATCTTTTGTATTACAAAAGGAAGATAGGAAAATGCATGTTGCAAGTTATGAATACAAATAGGGCTGTTGTGTCTCCATGAAATTCACTATGTTCGAGCATTCGAGCAATTGTGTTTTGCTGAATGAATAAGGATTCATTCAGCAAATCATTAGTCAAGTCAAAGTAATACATTTTGTTATGAAATTATCCAATCCTACCATAATAACTACAACTTTTAGTTCCTATGAAATCTGAATATGAGGTTTTTAATCCAGAAAAACACATTTAGCACAGTGCTGTGGCTAACTGGTTAGCACTGTCACCTTAAGCTATACTGTAACTTCATCAGCACCTTGGTTTAGAGTATTGATCATAACAGTAGAATACCTCTAAATTGTATTGTGTAGCAAAAGCTTTAAATTATGTTAGATTGCATCGTGCTTCTCAAATAAAAATAAAATGTAATTCAATATATGTGACATGGAAGCTCACCTGGGTATTTTGAAGAGGGCTCTCATTGGGTGGAGTTCAGAGAGGGGAGGGTCTCCATCTCCCAGCTCTATGGCAGTGATGCCGAGTGACCACACATCACAGCGAGCATCGTAGGTTGAGTCCAACTGCTGTTCACACGCTATTACCTACAGCAGACGAAGGACAAAGTAAAAAAAAAACACAAAAATATAAGGATAAAATATTGAAACAGAAATAAAATAAAAAACAGCCCTGTATATTATATATATTACTTTGTCAAACTGCTAGCCATCAATTGATATCTTAGACAGTTATCATGGGAGGTATAACATTGTATTGCCTTTGGCTTTCATAGCTTCACCATTTATTATGTCAAAATAACATTACACTTTTGTTTTGGAGAATAAAGTCTCATCCAACAGGTTGAATATTCTGCTATACGGCACTTACTTCTGGAGTAAAGAGGTCAAGTTTGGCCCTACTTCCTTATTAAGGACATACATGAAACAAACATTAAAAAGAGCAAAATGTATCAAAATATCAAAGGAACCTGTTATAGAGTGTAACAGAGCTCAGCCAAAGCTCTAGTCTCATCATAATCTGCTGTGGGCAACACAACAACAATCTTCAGTCTCCTTAGGGCAACATGGTACTCCATCAACAATATGATGCATTTCTCAGCAGGAGGCACACAAACACACATTCACCTTTACTGCAAGTATGTTTCAAATCAATAAAAACTGTTTGTTTTATGTACAAAGTCAAGAGAAGCAGACAAATCATAATTAGATCACTAATAAAACATCCTGAAACACAAATTTGGACACACACAAATAAAGTCCCTGTCCATTTCTATACATAAGAAACAAAATGAAGACACAGAATATCGATGTTAAAGCAGTTCTCATAAAGAAAATGTTGGTATTTAAAATGATAAAAAGAAAATATGGAGAAAAGCGCAACTTACCCGTACAAATCAAAGTAGCAAAACAAGATCTTCTTGAGAAAGTAGGTAAGAATGTGTCCCTATAAATGCAATACTATATTATATAATATCTTTAACAAAAGAAAAGTCAAAACAAATATTGTTGTATCTGTAATAGAAGTATCCTTGATACAAATCTCCCTACTGCCATGAATAAAGCTCCCAATCAAAGACTTTCAAGTTGAGAGAGAGCATCTGAGCAACTTTGTTTAACACTTTACCCAAATCACATTAAAATCTTCAACAAACACGTCATGTATACTGTGATCCACAATTTGCAAGGCATGCAAAGCTCATGTAAAAATGTCCATTTCGATTTTACAATTGAACATGCAAGTTGCCTTAATGAAGGGCAAATCAAGAGGGCAGCATCCCCACTCCTTTAAACTACACATCGTATCCCTCCAGAGAATCGCCTTGAGGTCCAGGTGTGCAGACGGCTGGTTATGGGATGCCATTACATGTTGAGGTTTTCCTGAAGTGTCGTGGGTTCAGTTCAATTAAATATGAATGAAAGCCGTCAGTGTGATGACCCCAAGCATGGCTCTGGTCTTGCCGAACACTCTGTCCTAACATTCAAGATAGCACTTAGCATGCAGTAAAATACCAAGTTACCAGGTGTTACTGAACCTTCTTCAAATTAAATTATTTATAAGGCTAGAAAGAGCCACTTTGACAGCGAGTTACAGGCAGAAATAATCACCAGAATAAGCTTATGATACCTTTTTTTTTAATAGTAGAAAGATTACATTCTGATTAAAAGGCTTTCAACATGTCAACCGATGCTATGTCAACAAAAAAGAAATGGCAACTACCAGATAAAGGAAACTCTTCTCCAGAAGCTTGGTCATCTTTCTACAAACCCCCAATTTATCAGAGTTAATGCAACTGTTTTCAAATGTGCTGTAGTTTTTTCCATATGAATTAATAAACATGTACTGTATGTGTATTATTCGGTTTAATCCCCTTTTAATTTCTGGTACCAGAAATGAGAAGAAAACATCTCAAACGATCTTACTTTCGAACTTGCCTATTAAGATTGGAGGGCACACTGCTTCCTGCACTGGCAATAAACCGTGTTAATATATGTCAATCAGAATATTAAGCTATGTACTTCCTTGAGATACTCGGATGTGCTCATCAACTTAAAACATCAAAGTTATGAAACAAAACACAGAAACAGCTGGGAGGGGAGAAAGATAAAAGTTACCAAACAGAATCAACCAGTGCTACAAAGTCAACTCCAGGCCGATGAATCAATAACAAGATCCTACAGCTGAGAGACCGCCTCGCTTTTTGTTGTCCCTTTCACAACACAGGAGAAAATAAGCTACCATGAAAACTATACTGGTTCTTGATGTAAGTATTTCTAGAAATAGGGTATAAAACCTGCTGGTGCACTGAGCTATGCTTGGACAGGAAATGAATGACGGCAATCCCTTTTTTTCATGCACATTGCATTTGACAGTGTTATCTCTTTGATGATTATTAAGTGTGGCCCAGTGGGATCTGCTCCAGGCTAATGTAGTGGAAAGGGAGTTTTACTGTACCTCAGGAGCCATCCAGAAGGGAGTTCCCACAGAGGTGTTCCTCCTCAGTCGGGTATTTGTCAGCTGGGCAGAAACACCTGCAGGGAAGAGAATGCACACCGTAGACACTTTAGCCTCGCTCTCAGAACGTGCACTCAGTGGAGACCATTTTCACTATCTCAGTAGCTTCTTTGACATTTGTTTTTTTTTTCTCCCCACAAACATCAGTCTGGCTGGTAAAAGTGATGATCTGTGAAGAGGGAAACAGTACACAGTGGGGTACTGCTCAACTGATACGGGGCTGAATGGATCTCAGAGCTTTCACGTGTACCACTGATTGAGCTGTCACTATAGTGACAAGGAGGGAAAACAAAACACACACTCATATACACACAGTGCCAACAAACTGCAATGTTTATCCCCTACAAATGATAGATTGCTTTGCATTACACATTCCTATGTGACTGCAGGTGGTTTTGAGGGGCATTTCAAGAACAACATTTGAATACAATTCAGCTGTAAACAGGTTTTGGCAGGCCACAACCTTTCCCTGTCTCTCAGAACAACATGTTGTGGATTCAAGTTATTTAGAAGGTTCGGGTTTATCTAAATGTAAGTAATAGGACAAGATGTTTAAATTCAGCAAAAGAGGGATCGTACAGAATGCTTGTGTGTCCTTATGTGTGTGGTAATGTGCGGTACGATGCCTGACAAGGAACATGCTGACCCACAATCGTGACTTCCTTCCAGTCGAGACAAATCAGTGTCATGCCACACTGTAATGTATCCCAGGGATGGCTCAGCTCAAGCAGCAACTAGGACAAAAGCAGAGCCTCGAGACCAAAGCAGCTACAAACAAACAAAAGGTGATCGGCTGATGCACGACATGCTGTTGCAGAGAAATGTTATGTCCAGCCCATTGTCCCTCACAAGATGTCAAATATGGCAGATTGGTCAGGGACCCTACGCTTTAAGCTATTAGGAAATATGTTTGTGTTATCATGCAGGGAACAAAGGTAACAGTGAGGTGATGTAAGGGAGTGCAAAGTATCCTAACATTTAAAAAGCACAGGATGTTCCCCCAGGGGACATACATGCATTACATGCTACTTACTTAACTAACATTTTGCTGTGATATATTTCCACATAAAAAACAGACTTATCCCTCAAACCAACTGTAATCTTCTCCTTACCAAACGTGCAGCCTAATCCTAACCAAGTAGTTTATCATTCTTAAAATATACTATATGCATGTGACGTGTAAAAGTGACTCTAAATGTTGCTGCACAACTTGTTTCATGACATGATATTGAACATAAATGTATTTCTGAGCGATTGTTTCCTGTAAAAGCTCAATATGTACGTTTCTGTTTTGACGACTTCATTACAGTCGCTACAGTACAGAAATAGACTGCAGCGGAGTCGAGCAAAGCAGAGGAAAACGATTCTGTGGCAAAGTCGAAAGGGGATTAGAAACGTGTGTAGGAGGGGATATATGCGTAAAGCTGTACACACACACGCACAGAAACACTTAATGCCGTCACCAAAACAGCAAACCGCTACAGAGTAACACTTCAACCGGCATTAGTGAGAAGAAACCGGATGTCCAATAAAACACACGACTAAATATACATAAGGTGTGTGAGGATACAGAACCAAATAACCCCTATTAAAGCTCTCACTCTCTCTCTTTCCACTACATTAGCCCGGAGTGGAGCCTGGTGGACCACACTTAATAATCATCACACAGATAACGCTGTCAATTAGAATATTCATGAGAGACACATGAACGAAAAGCGCCTCTAATTCTTCCCTTTTTTTCTTCTTTTTGGGTACATCTATTTGCCATTATGTGTCTCTGCTGTTGATGAGTCACTGCGGGGGCTTTATCTCTTCAGCTGCTTATTGTAGCGTACACCCCTCCACATGAGAAACCATTAATCCCAGCGTGACGCAGTAGCATCGAGGCGAGCACGAGTCGGCTTCTTTATTTCAACTGTTTTCGTCACTCTGCAAGTTTTTATACACAAAGGGTTTCTCTAAACTGCTACTTCCTTTTTTTCCTTCTCTGATGTCATCATTTCCAATATCTGATTGAAATTTGAACTGTCAGCATTTGGTAAAGGCTGCAAACAAGCGAAAACAAAAGATGTGAAATAGCTTTTTATGCATGCTCTGTATATTGGCTGGAAAAGATTCAACTTTAGACTTTAAATTAAGTTAACAGGACAGGAGGCCGAGTCTTATCGGCTGATGTCGCTGCCACCATTGTGCCAGGTGAAACACATGACATGTACTTACTCAGATAGATCCTTCTAGAAGTCCCATATATGTTGCATGCTTGACGTTTCAATTTTCTAGCCAAAATCACATCAGAATTGATCAAGACTAAACGTCTCTACAGCATTGCTAGCAGCTACCTTGAGCATGTACTAAATGCTAATGATAGCATGCTAACAGTATCCCAATAACGATGCTTAAAGCTGATGTTCACCAGGTAGTACACTTGTTTTGTTGCTGGGATAAAATAGTAATTGTCAGAGAAAATCTCCCCCAAAAAAAATAAACCTCTTTGTGGTGACAATAAGAGAGTTAAGGAGATAGCTAAGCCAGTATCCTTATGGGATCATGAATATCATAACTGGATCTTTTTTAATATCATATTACAGTCACATGATGGTCTTGCTGCTTTGCCCACCACATTCTCACCTCCAATTCTTATCTCTATTCTTCTGCTTTCTTATCTGTAATGGTGCTTGTCTTAGATCATGTTTCATTACAAACCCCAATGTTTCACAAAGATAACATTTCGTATTTCTGTATGCCAACATGCATTTGTTTTGAATAGCCAGCAGAAGGATAAGAGCAGATAACAGTGAATATGTTAACATGGAAGTTAAAGTTTGATAGTACTTTAGAGCAGTGGTTCTCAACTGGTGGGTTTCGAGTGGGTCGCAGATGTGTGAGTGAAGAGTTTTTTTTTTGGGGGGCAAAAGTCAAACTTTTATTTTGAAGGCCCGATTTTCTAACGCTGTGCATGCAGTAGGCGTTGGACTGAAAGTACCGGAGACCATAAACTTTTTTTTTTGTACTTGTTTAACTTTTGTCTAGTTTCTGAACAGATATGAGGAGCTTGAGTGCAAACAGCTAACGGCTGATGTTGTTTTTTCTGGGGTGCTCACGGGTGAAGATGATGTCACGGCTCCGCCTACACTGCGTTACTATAGTTACTGCCCCAGCTCCTAAACTGTAATGGAAGCGCAGCATTAAAGTGAGCCGGGCCTAATAAGGCCTAACCAAACCGAGCGAGGCCGAGCGAGGCCTGCGGTGGAAATGCGCCAATATAGAGCTGTCCATGGCCAAGCCCCAGCCTACATTAACGACCTTAGGTCTGAGGTCCTCTGAGCAAGGCCTCCTAAGGGTGCCCCGAAACAGGCTAAGGGTTGTTCCTGGCCCTAGAACCACGATTTTATGGGGCCAGAAAAACTGTGAATTAGGACCCGCTAGCCGGTACTAGGCTAAGTGGAAACGCAACCAAAAACGGGCCACGCACGGATCGGCACGCTTAAAGCGAGCTCCGCGCTGCAGTGGAAACGCGCCATAAGATGTTGACAAGTTGTCCGATATTCGATTTTTTAGCTAACAAGCAATTTAAGCTACATTAAATATGAGTGGGTGAAGCCCTCCATCACTGCTATGTAAGCTTTCCTGTGGCTCAGAGCCCATTTTTTACATAATGTCTTCAATTATTCAGATTTGTATTATGTGTTTTTGAGCACAATATGTAAATAACTGAATGTAAAACGTACTTGACTTGAGGGCTATATTCTGAAGAAAATATGAAGGACATACCATCTATTTCTATGTATTTATTTATTTTGAGAAAGGGTCAGGTAATATAAGATTATTTTCTCCCTGCTCCTTTTCAGGTATGGTGTGTTTATAGAGGCATGTTTTATAAATAATTGTTATACATTAAGTTGTGCATACCATGAACTGAACAAATAAAAATGAAATATATTTTGCTAAATAAATATGTGGGACAATAGCTTCCCTTTACCTACATTATCTGACACTAATAAAGGCTGATGCTAGACTTGGCTGTTGACATTTACCAGAAAATATGTAACTGCCACTCTTGTCAAGAGGGACTTAATGCATTACCAGTCTGTCTCAAGGGCGCTTTTGACAGCTCAAGTGGTAGATTGACACACTGGGCTGTTGTGAATATCAATCCTGTGATGTGGCAGTTTTTCACAACCACTAACAGCTCGTACGTAACAACCATAGACTGTATATATAAAGGTAACAACATATGATGCCCTCAGCTTTCTGTTGTAAAAGACCAGTATCTATATCTATTATTTATAAGCTCTTATTATATAAGCTTTTTTTTTACAGCGTAGATATGCCATTGTAAAAATGTAGTGAAAGTCGAAAACTAACCAGCTAATACTTTTAAATTACATTTTACATCAAACATTTTTGTAACTAGTTACAAGTTAACTGTTACAAGGTCAACTTTAAGTCACTGTGCAATTGAACTATAAACATAAGATAAGATAGAATAGGATATACTTTATTGATCCCAATTTAGGAATTTATTTCCGTTAATATGTTGCTACTTTATCTGTTATTCCTGTTTTCTTTACTGTAGTTATACAAATCATTTTAATTGACCATGAGATGTTCTACTTTGACATGTATGTTGCATCAGTTCTAGTCATAATCCAGTCATAAGCGCTAAGGTTGTATCAATTCATAATATTCATTGCCCAATTTAGTATTTAGCCGTAGGGTCATGGCACAACAACAAAAAAAGAGGAACAACCCAATGTTTGGGAAAGAATGGCAAATCAATCTCAACTGAATAATCAGGGACACAATATTAGATTTACAGTGTTTACTGTTGGCCTTGAATTGCTGTCTTTTATATAACCAATTTAAGCAAATATGTGAAATCTAGAATGCAATAAAAAAGGCTTGTCAATTGTGCAGACGAAAGCAGGCCCATTTTAAAAAAATGTAGGTGTTTGTTGTGATGAGTACTAAAACACAACAAATATTCGAAAATGTAAAAAAGCCATAACAGAGTGCTTACCACCAGATGTAGATATTAAGAGACCTTTTAGGACAACACTTAAATTGCTGAAAACCTCAAGGCTTCAGAGTTCCTTTCTTTAAAACTGGTGCAAAAACCAGGTGTTGAGAATCTGTGAGGAGGAGCTGCTCTTAAGGTTAAACGGAAAGCCCTGCTTTGTATTGGCTACTTCTTATTAAAGTGCACCCCCCTCCTCCTTTTCTAAGAGCTGTGCACTTTGTGGTTAGAAAAAGGCTTTTAAGAGAAGCCCCACAATTAGCAGACTAAATGCAAACCTACACACAGTTGAAAGGGGATTGTATGTGTAATGAAAACAGGCAGCTGGTGAAGAAAACAGCGGTGAGTCATCCCCTGGAAATAGTCAGATTCACTTTGCGTATTGTAAGCCTTCAATTTAAAAAATATAGTTGTGCTGCTCTGAGCGCCTCATTTGGTTAAGAAAACCCAAAAGCAAATCCGTGCAAACACAGAGTGAACAGCAACAATGTCCGCTGCTGTCTGCTTGGGAATGTGAAAGATAGGTTGTAATAGAAAAGTGTGTCGTCTGCCACCTTGTCAGGTTCTGTAAACACATTTCAACCTCTCAAGGGAACTAATTAGCCGCACAATTTTATTTGGCAAGCATCTGAGGGTAATGGATTTGACCCTCTTCTGTTAAGTAGAGCCATAACTTGATTGAAACTGATTAGAGGAGGATAGAACAGAAAAATACATGGTTTCTTTGTGTTTTTTACACATTGCGTACCAAAATCCACGAGTTTGACACCTCCATGCGTCGTCAACAGGATGTTGTTGCCTTTGACGTCACGGTGAATAGTTTTGTGGACGTGCAGGTGCTGGAGGCCCTGTGACAAAAAAAAAAAAGATTAACCGATTTTTCTGACAAGCACCTGCTTTCAAATGATCCTGTTCAAGCTTTTCCCCCGAAGCAATGTATTCAATTGTTATTGTCTCCCCTCTTGCTCATGGAAAAGGCCAGACTTACCATAAGGGCCTCATGCAAGATGTATGCAATAATAGCTTCATCCATTCGGTCTCCTCTCTTCAGCATGCCTTTAGCCAGATCTGTCACAGAGCCGCCATTGCACAGCTGCAACAGAAAAACACACAAAGAGAGGGGAATAATGAGCTCCAACTCAACATGAGTCAACACTTATAGATGAGCTTATTCAATACGCTGAAATCTGGGGCATCTGAGATGTTCACACAGAGAAACAGCAGAGGAAAAACAAAGTTCTGATCCTAAGATTTCATAGTGAGAAAAGAGATGCTGGAAGTAATTCTGCCAATCTTTAGCAGCTTATCTTTCTGANCGTCGTACGTACGTACGTTACGTACGTTACGTTACGTACGTACTACGTACGTACTACGTACGTACGTACTACTACTACTACTACGTACTACGTACCGTACGTACGTACTA